ACATCTTTCCTGTGCTAGTATTGTTTATGGTTTTATCGCTTTCTGTGTATTTATTCTTTTTATCTCTTTTCTCCGCTTTTATTCTTGTTTTCTCCTGTTTTTGTCCTTACTCGTTTTCTGTTTTACTCTTTACTGTTTTCGGTAGAGGTTGAAGACCGCGACGCGCGTAGATAGAGGAAAATGGACACCGCCATCTTATAGAGCGGGAAAAATAGAAGGGGATAGCGTATAGTTTAAGATGCACTGGCCTTATAGTCACCGCTAAATGACGAAAATATAACGCGCGGCCGCCTTTCAAATTCAAAGTCGATGAACTTGTTTACCTTGCTAGGAAAAACACGACACTGACCCACGAACGCATTTTTGCGTTCGCGAACTAGTCCGTGTATCATTACGCGCTTGTCAAAACGATATTTGGCTAATTATCTGTGTCTGCTGGTACGCATTTATACCTTTAAAGTCTTTTAGTAATGTTATTATACTTCAATTTGCATATTTTATATTTATCTATACCCTCATCGAATCCTGCGCATCGAGTGTTTCACACTTTCTTGCGCCAGCCACAGGTTGACAGCTCACCAACCCGCTCATTTCGAGATTGAAAGCCGGTGAGAAATGTTGCGTTTCCAGTGTTGTGTTGATTCTGGGTTCTTTTTTAAGACCTTTACAGTGGCATCGAGAAATAATTCGACTTCAGTAACCATCCCAGTTTTATATCTGAGCCCATCAAGAGCTCCAAAGGACGAAAAAGGTGATTAAAATCGAAGCAATCCCAACAGTACAAAGAAACGAAAGTTTCACGTTTCCGGATATAAAGGTATTTGGTTTATTATTTTACGGTGTGAATGCAGCTCTGTCTTGCCGTACATACCGTGGTGGAGAGAATGTGTCCTGGGGGGTGTTGGGGGCTTGCCCCCCATCAACCCTCCCCTCGGGCAGTGCCCGAAGGGCACGCCTAGTCACGGCAATTTATATTGATATATTAGGTTGGTTGGTTATATTGGTCAATACGTGGGGTTTGGAACGTGTGAATTTAGATTTTTTGCCGAAATGTGGGTTGTTGGGCGTTTTTGATTTATTTCGCGTCAGTCCGTTTTCAAAGATGCGGTTCCGTAGAGTTTCATTGGCCGATTTTAAGCGCTTTTTGTGCTAGTTTTATGCATTTTTGATCGTTATTCTTCTTATTTAAGCTTGTTTTACCCCATAATTTCCCTGATATACTTCATGCCCTCCCCTGCTAACGGGACCATCAAATCAAGATCGTCGATGGAGAAATGGTACTCATCTCCTGAACGATTCATTCGCAAAAGAAAAACGCCGAAAATCGATGAAAATTCATAGGATTTCATGCAGAAAAAACATCATTTTTTTTCGACTTAGTCTCTGCGAGGGTGCGTCGCGGTCTTCAACAATTACCCTGTTTTCTACTTTACCATTTTAATTTATTTTTTGTTGTTATTTATAGTCTGTTTTTGCCTTTTAGCATCTGTTTGTCCGCAGGTGCTGCCCAGACCCCTCTACAAAAGACCTCGAGTGTGTGCATTTGTGTGCGTCGCGGGTGTAGCTCCGTCGCCACGCTCTCCACACAGTGTCTCCGCTGGGACTCTGTTGTGACGCCGGCCTCTCAACGTCACATGCCGGAACAAAACCTTCGCCGTCCGCGAGTCACACGATGAACAGGAAACAATACAGAAACACCTATCAGATCAGCTGCAAGCCAGAAAAGGCGCAGATCCAATCCAACAATGAACAACCAAGCATCACCAATAGTAGAGGATCCAAGGCACGCCAAAGGAGGTCAGAGCCGCTGCCCTTAATCTCAAACGTATACACAGAAAAGTCACCACATAGGACAGAACCTAGTAGCTAGCCAACCCGAACCCTGCTTGGGTCATATAACACCTCGAACTCCTCGAACAAAATACAGCCACAGGCCATCAGGAAACGATACCGGACGGGCTTCAAAGGAGTATGTCGTCTACGCCGAATGCTGTCGGCTCTGTTTAGGGATGACTTTTCGCGGATCGTCCAGACTATGTAGACAGGTTCGATAAATCACACCAGGCGATCCGGCAGAACATACACTTCAAAGCAAGCTATACCACTAAGTGGCGAACGATTGCAAAGACATCCACCAAAAGCTACGAGCCACGCACTGTATTAATACACAAAGATTGCACTAGTCATCCAATGGCCCGCAGTTTAGCAAAGACCTCTGCACGCGGCCCTCAGTTACAGGTGCCTCCTCTACACATCACAAGGCCTCCATCCCAGGCCTTTCTGCAACAAATGACCAGAACACCCTTATCGACCACACAATAACTACTACCCTTGCCCACCGCCACAAACCAAATCGGCCCTGTCGCAAAAAATCCTGCCCTAAACCAATCAATCCCAGCGGCCAAAAAAAACATCAAAAAACTTCGTGATGAGATTACCCTCTTTCTTACGGAGAGAACTCCTGCAATCCTTGGTGTCTGCAGCGGAATCGGGAGGTGGAATCCTGGAATAAGACACAGCAGTCGAGCTTCTGAACATCCAAGTACAGATGACCACCTTCATACCGGATAATGGCCAAGAGGAAAAAATAAAAAACAGAAAAAAAAAAAAACGTGGAAGGTTGCGTGGCATTACGCCCAGACGGCTTCTCCTTGGCCTACGCTCGATGGAGGGTTGTGTGACGCTGATGAAGATTCCGATTTCAAGGCAAAGCTGCGGATGTTTACATGGGACAAGCACAGCCTAGCATTTCTATTGAGATGTTGGCCCATGACTCGTATGGCCACCGGGCGAAGTCTCTCACGTGAGTACCTACCAGGCCGGTGGAGATGTGGCTGTAATTCCAGGGAGCGCGGACAGGATTATCACACATGAACATCGTTGATTACGAAGGGACCCTAGCTGATACCAACACCTCTTCACAAACCATAAGCTAGTTAGAGCCGAACACTTTGTCAACTGCAGCACCCACCCAGTTCAGCAGCATCTCACACAACCTCCACCCAATAACAAAGGTATATCGCCGTCCCGTTAAGGTGACCAGTTCCACGTAAGGGAAAGGACACAGACACTGTATCACGAATGTTCGTGCCAAAGAGCTGATAGTTTTGGTAGTGTGTGAG